AGCCTAACCTTACCATACCTCCAACCCCAGCCCATCTATACCTCCAATCCCAGCCCATCTATACCTCCAACTCCTGCCCATCTATACCTCCAACCCTAGCCCATCTATAACTCCAACCCCAGCCTAACCTTACCATACCTCCAACCCCAGCCTAACCTTACCATACCTCCAACCCCAGCCCATCTATACCTCCAACCCCAGCCCATCTATACCTCCAACCCCAGCCCATCTATACCTCCAACCTAAGCCCATCTAACCTCCAACCCCAGCCCATCTATACCTCCAACCCAAGCCCATCTATACCTCCAACCCCAGCCTAACCTTACCATACCTCCAACCCCAGCCCATCTATACCTCCAATCCCAGCCCATCTATACCTCCAACTCCTGCCCATCTATACCTCCAACCCTAGCCCATCTATAACTCCAACCCCAGCCTAACCTTACCATACCTCCAACCCCAGCCTAACCTTACCATACCTCCAACCCCAGCCCATCTATACCTCCAACCCCAGCCCATCTATACCTCCAACCCCAGCCCATCTATACCTCCAACCCCAGCCTAACACTACCTCCCAACCCCAGCCTAACCCTACCTCCAACCCCAGCCCATCTAACCTCCAACCCAAGCCTAACCCAACCGTACCTCCAAGTTAAGCCCAAGCATACCTTAGAATCCTCCACTTTTTTCTGGAACCGTGGCAGCGCTTCCATCTCGTTGCTCAACGTCTTCTCCATCGGCCTCAGCCCCTGCACACACACACACACATGAAAACATTACAGACAACTCTAGAAATTTGACAGATTTTTATTCATTTCAGTATAAGTTTGATGGCACTTACAACACAATTAGGTCATATAAGAGCCTAGATTAGAGTTGTTGCTAGAGAGTAACACTAGTAACAGATAAGTACCATACATCTGTTAGAACCTCGATAATTCAAACTTTAAAATTTTACAGGACAGACCCCCCCAAAAAATTGTCTACAATATTATTATTAATGTTAACAAATAGGCAATTAAATTCTGTCACTGTATAGTGATGGGCCTTAGACAAAATCCTACAAAAAAGAGAGTGTTTCACCTGAGCCTATTATTACACAATGTGAGTTAGAGACAAACATCCAGGGGTTATCGGGGTTCACCATCTCCTTTAACCGCTTCACTGCTGCTCAGCGTACAGTGTACGCCTATAAATCGGGCCCTCCTATGCGCTGTAGACATACAGTGTACTCCCGGCAATATCACTATATTGTTTCGTTTCCTAACTCAGCCGGAAATTGCAATTTAGTATAGAGAGTGGGCCCCCCTGAAAGCTCTTTTATTCCCGAGTTAGAGAAGCTTTAGTTTGCCCTAATTAGACCAAAAATGACAGATAAAGCGTGAATTATAGCACCACTCCCTCTTCACAGTACTAGCGTCTTATTCTAGCTCTGAGCCATGGCTGATGGCTCGCGATATATGCTCACAACGTATCAGGCTATCAGCGAAATTTTTGCTGATGATGATAGCGGTCTATTCATTTTCCTTTAAAATGATATAGACATTTTTATGCGTTTGATATATTACCACAGAGTAAATAGCATTTTAAAAGGATCACCCATTTGAATTGCCATTCGTGGCAACAAGGTCAGCATAGGGCGGAGAATATAGGTCAGCAGAGAAGGGGTTACGGTCTCAGGGAGGTTAGGACAGAGCAATACGC